AGTATGTGTGTGTGTATGTGTGTGTGTGTGACTGCTTAAAATAGATTACAATAGAAGATACTTTGCCCTTAATTTTATCCCATAGTCTCTACCACATCTGAGACATGCCACACTGCTCTTGCTTCTTTCTGAAGCAGTCCTGGAAGGCCTTTCTTATGAATGTCTTCACTTTTACAGCCATGGCTGGTAAAATATTTACCTTTCATGATTATTTTTACACTGGGTAAGAGCCAGAGTTAAAATGGTGCCATGTTCAGTGAATAAAGATGATGAAAACATAGAGTAATTTTTGAGGGCCTACATTTCTGTTGGATAGCACTAAGTAGTAACATTCATTGTATTTTTTTTTAAATCACATCTTGTAAAGACACTGGGGACACAGCACTTCCAGAGCTGCTCAGAAAGTGCAATGAATAATGGCATATCACTGTCTGAAGAAAGTGCAAGTATGGATCACTGGCCATGCATTTTGTATGCTATTAAACTTTTATTTTAAACATTCACTGTGTATTTGAATCACATCTCACATATATTATGAGTGATTGGATTGCTCAGGAAATTAAGAATGAGTAGAGGGTGTAACATATAGATGACAGTTTCTTTTGGTATCCAAAGTGAGTCATGTGCAGTAATTGTGGGAATCATCTAGAAGATAACATCCCAGGACAAACAGGCCTTTAGTGTGCCACAAAAATAGAACATTGTTAGAAATTTTACATTCAGAAAGAGGCACATCTATGTTTATAATCTAGCCATGTCATATTATACTCATGAATTTTACTCTATTATATTTTTGGAAATGCAGGTGTCTTCATTTGGAATTAGGCAACTAATTCCTAAGCAGAAATTTATATTAGGTTGGAAATATTCCTCATGTAAAAATATGAACATGCTCTTAGTTAATACAATCATAATTTTGTTTGTTTTCCTTTGGATACCTTAGGGTTAAAGAATTGTGTTACTCTTATTTCATATTATGACATATTATCATCATTTGTCATACAGTATGTTTAATAATTAACCTTATTAAAACTGTAGTTTATAAGTGTTCCACAAAAACTAATGTGAATGGAAGGACATTGTTCTTCTGTGGGATTATTATCAAAGTGTAGGCCATAAGCACTGCTTTTCTAGTACATTAGATAGAGGCAAGGAAACTTATCCAGGCTCCTTCTCTTTATACTTTATGTTTCTTGCTGACATTGAAGATCGTGGTACACAACACTGACATTGTGAACTGTTCATACCTGTAAATTTATTGGAAACATATTTTGGCGTACAGCTTGCCTTGTGGGGCTTGCTATACTCCAGGCAGATTCCACCTAATATTTACTGGATTCTATATCAATCTGGGTGGAAGTCCATACACAGAGTGGTATGGAAATAGGAATATGTGAGAGATGAGAATCAACATTCCCTGAATGTTTTACCTGAAAGAAGTAAAATGACTAAAGTTACCCTGAAAGAAATACTAGAGTGTGAAGAGTGTGAAAGCTCTAATATTCTAGAATGAGAGAAGAGAAAAGTGCTCATTTGTCCAACCAAGAATAAATAAATAAATATGAGTAAAAGGCAAAAGTTCCTTCTTGAATTTGAAGAACAATGTCTATATGCCATATATGCCCCTTTACTTTAAATGAATATATACTTTAAGTTTCTTTAAATATAAAATGTCCCTGGATAGGGATTTACCTCAGTGGTTCTGCTGCCTGCATCACAAGTGCAAGGACCTGAGTTCGATCCCTGGTAAAAAAAAAAAAAAAAAAGTAAAATAAGGCGATACAAATATATCTCATTAAAGGAACCAAAAGTAAAATCCAGTGGCACTCTAACATGGAACTACATCCCCAGACTCACTTTTCTGTATTTTTAAATCTTTATTAAGTTTATTGGTACATTTTATATACACAATACAGTTACATTCATCTCTGGGACCTATACTTGACATCTTAGTTCTTATATTTATATTTATATTTGTTTTTAATTCAAAACAAGGTTTCACTTAGTTGCCCAAACAGGGCTATAAAATGAGTTCAAGGGCATGGTGCACTACATTGAGTGTGAGGGCCAGTCATGGACCACTGGCATTTGAAATTTGAAAAATAACTCCTTCCTTTACAATTAAAGCATTGATACAATCTATGTAACATTTGTTTCTTTTAAGGACATTTTAAACTTGTTTTGTTCTTTGACACTGTGATAACAGGAGTTAGCTGAAGATCTGATTTTATCTGTAAGAGTCAGGAAATCCAGTCTTTGCATAAAGATAAAAACAATTGCTTGGTGCTTCCTGTTGTTATGTGCCTTTAAAAGCTTCCTGTTGATTTGAGCCTTTAAAAGGAGCTGTTTCTGTGAAATAAATCAGACTTCTCTTGATCTCCACTCAGGCTTGAGTGTTCTTTCCTTTCTCTATCCTCACTCCCCAACTCAGGCATGTTCGTGTTGTGATGGCTGGGCCACCACAATTGAGGGGCCTTGTATCAAAATAAATAAATAAATAAATAAATAAATATATGTTATTCCAAAATACTATATACAACATGACTTTCTGAATCTCAGGCATTTCATTACCCTGCTCTGCTCTGTTCCATTGTTTTATATTTTTATGCCAATAGAACACTCTTTTGTTACAATGCCTCAATATTGTGGAACACAGGTATTTTGAAGCTTCCAAGATATTATTGGCTCCCTCTAGGACTCTTCAGGGCCTTGTGCCCCTGCTTAGCTTCTTCCATGCCTCATAAGTGCTCTCTGCCAAGCTCTAGTCCCTTGGTTTCTCCTCAGGTCTCTCTGTCTGTCAGACAGTTCTACACTCCAAAGTCATAGCCTTCATTGTCTCCTTTGTCCTCTCTGCTGTCAGGCCTCTCATCTCTACATTTCTCCTTGGCTCCCTATATCCATTCAGAAACTTACCCTTCAGGCCTGCTTCCCTCCACATCCTCCACTCCCTCAGTGGACCTCTGTGTCCTTCTGTGCCTCCTCATTTTTATCCAGTCTCCTCAAGCTTTCATTTAGACCTTGCATCCCTTCATTTCTCCTCCTCCATTTATCTCTATTAGGGTGTGTTTTAGTCAGCAGGATTTGGCAAGGAAATACATTAAATACAGGACATATAACTTATGAGGTTATTTTATGATAATTACCCAAAAAGTCAAATGCAAAGGAGTACAAGAGATTGTAAGAGCCTAATTGAACTAGAGCTACTCCCTATTGACCAGCAAATGACCCAGAGACTGTTGCTCCCCCCATCCCTTATAGGATAACTAATGATTAATTGTGAATTATTAGGTAACTGCTTAGAAGTATCTGGGAAACTAAATGGAAACTGTAATGAACATAGCGACCCAAAATCAATCATGCCACTCCTTACTTGCCTGTAGTTGAATGTTCTGAACACCATAATCTAAGTTGTAAATAGAACAATGGATAATCGATCTGCTGATCATTAGTACGTAATGGTAGAGTATATGATTGATGACCACCAGTTCAGATCAACTGATTCTTTGCCTTTGTCCCCTTCCTGTAAGTTTTGAGTGTAACCCTCCCCCCATAGCCCTATATAAAATGGCCTCTGTTTCTGAGCTAGCTGCCTCTCTGATCTACTTGGCTCTGGGAGTGCTGTCTGGCCAGACTAACAAAGGTCTATTTACCAACCAGCCTGGTATGTTCCTTCCTGGGTGACTCTCGCTATATGACAGGCTCCTGGAGCCTCACTGAGCTTTTGGGCTCAGCATCTTGGAGGCCTCTTGGCTGTTCATGCCCCAGGAGTAAGAGTGAGACTTTAAGTCTTATAGATTAACCATACACTAGTAGCCAAAAGGATAAAGCTGAGGGCCTAGATCCCACAGAAATCCAGCTAAAGGCTTAGAGTCCAAGGCAATATCCTCCTTGAGTCCACCCAGTTGCCCAGAGACCACAGCAATGTCTCATTCTTGTCTATAATGAGGATATGCATCTGGAGGGCCCAAAGACCAGTGCTGGAAGCCAGAAAATATGTGCTGGTGAGATGAAAGATTTGTGGCACTAGCTGAGGGATCCACATTGGAGCCAGGAAGTGATGTTCATAATAAAGATGAGAACTCCCTGATGAAAGCAACAGCCACTCCCAGCAACAGCAAGGTCTCCTACTCTGATGAG